TCTCTCTCTCTCACACACACACACACACACACACACACACACACACACACACACACTCATTCTCATTCTCTAGTACACATGCTTAAACACACACAGAGTATTTGATCACATCTTGGAAGTTCCTATCAAACACTGACCCATTTTCTACTCCTATTCACCCTTGACATTTCCTAATATTTCCTTAGTTTATTATTTGCTCACAACAATGCTAACAAATTAATTATCTGCTCCTTTCCTCCCTGGACTATTTTATACCTCATCCACAACCTTTAAAATAGTTTGTTTGCCTTTATACTAATTCATATATTTTCTTTACAGTCCAGTTCTGTGATAAATTCCAGAAGCAGGCCATAACTTTTACAATGGTTATTATTCCCACATACCCGCTTTTCTTCTTAGATAAACAGGCCCTATTCTTTCCATTTTTCCTATTACGTTAAATATCTCATGATCCGTTCTCTGTATCCATGTCAAAGCAAGCATTTAAAATCATACTTTATCCCAAACATCTAAATATGCTTCTGTCATTCCTTCTAATCAGCATTAAATACAGTCTTCTCAAATGGTCATGTCCTTTCTCACTTTATATCCATAACCTTCCCCTCCTACTTCTGATAGCTCTGCTGGGTCTCTTCTCACTAAAGGAGTAGGATTTGCAAGCCCAGGCAGAGAAAAATTGGTGTCAGGCCAGAGGTTTGGTAGGATAGACAGCAAAGGTTCAGAGGAGCACTGTGGCTCAGAGCAGTTTTTATGCAATGAGCAGAGTCAGGGTAACTTCTGCTGTCCTCACTCTATTTGGCCAATTTCCCAAATCAGGTCCATGGACTGTTTTCACTGAGTATGTCGGAGGTTGTGGCATCCACAATAAAGGATGATCCCAGAAGTGGGGGGAATATGTGCAGGAAAGGAAGCCACCACTTGAGCTGACGAGAGCTGAGCGGGGCTGTCAAAGACAGGACATTTGGAGGGCCCTCGTTCATAGGGTCACCATAAGTCGGAGACGGCTTGCTGGCACGGCACAACAACTAGCACAGTATTATTGGTATGTAGCATGTTGGATCCAGACCGTGGAGACCCAAGTCCAAATCCTTGCCCAGCCATGGAGCTTCCTGGGATAATTTCTTTGCTCTCCTTAACTTACCTTTAAATGGGATAATTATATACATGCTGCTCTGAACATCTTGCAGAAAGAATGGGATACAAAATACATCTGTAGCAGATATTTACCAAATTGCTCAGAACACTTTACCTTTAAGCCAGGATCACCTTTTGCTCCGGGAGAGCCAGGTAAACCCTAAAAGAGAACAAAACACAAAAACGTATTTTAACATATCGAAGTGTCTCATATACCCATTCATTTGGAAATGCTTCTCTCTATAATTGTTTTTAAAGCTAGTTTTAAAGTCAGTAACCATTTTCTGACTACAAATATTCATTACTTTTTACCTCAAGCCACCTAGAGAATCCATCTGAATTCGTAGGCAGCATACAAATTTAAAAAAGAACACTCTGAGTCCAACACCAAACACTGACCAGCAACAGGGGTTGGTGACATGATGATGCCTGGCTTCTGTCCAGTGGGCATCCATACTCAGATACTGCAAGCGGGTCCTGCAATGACCTGCTGCAGTGTGAAGTGCTCCTGTTCAGGGTTGTGGCTCAGTAGCCAAGTCCTTTCCCAGGATACTACACACCATCCCTGCAGTTTTCCCTTTTTTATTCCCAACACTCAGGCAACACTCTGTGACTACTGAGCATGCTCAGTCCTCACTGGGCTGGTTTTTTGGGGTGGAGTGGGGTGGGGGTACACCACCACTCCTTAGCTTCTTTGCCAGTTTTTTGTTCTTTTGCAAATGTTGGAGTTCCCCTAATCCTGTCGATCCCTCCCTTTTGTGCATAGATGCTGTCATTTTGGTAACATACAGAGAAGCTCACTACTGTTTTCAGACATCACAATAATCTGAACCAAGGACTGAGCATGTGCTGAGTGTGGGTTGTTGCTGAACTGTGGTTTGTTACTGAAACAAGGATTCCTGTGTTGACTGGACCCAGCTATGCTAACAGACTGTGGTGAGCAATGCACAGTGGTGAGCAATGCACAGTTCACAGCTCAACAACAAACCACGGGTGCTCCTGATGGGTTGTGCATGGTTAATAAGCCATGGATTGCTAGCACAGCTGGGTTCAGACATAATGATAGCCCATGCTTCAACAACACTCATTGTTCAATAATGACAACCCACACTTGACCATGGATGATCATGTTGCGTGAACACAGATAGTGCCCATGGTCTCCTCAAACAAGTACACCCTTCCCTCAAACAACTACAGTTGATGCCTCTCAAGCACATGTTTAAGCCGATTCCTGACTGGACAATGTCAAAAGCATGTGTGAAGTTGCATTCATTTTACTGCCTGCTTTTCCAAGCTGAGCTGGCATCTATAATTAGAGAGCAGTTTTGAGTGCAAGACCCATGGCTTGGCAGGCAGGGAAGCAGAACAACATTCATCTGGAGCCGCCTTCTCCAACCTCGTGCCTTCAGATATGTGGAACTGCAGCTCCGATTCGTCCCCAGCAGCAAGGCCGCTGGCCATAGGGAAGGCATCAGGATCAGCGGAAACCTTTGGCATCCACTTCAATAGCCTGTTTGAATCATGGCTATAATACGCTGGAACTTCCCTCATTGTATTCAGCTAACAGCATCTTAACAGCACTTGATCACACTGTCTGTGAGTTTTTCTACATGAGGCTGTTTATCAGTTTGCAATCTAATATCTCTTCTTTTGGCTTCATCACAGAACTGATGAAATTTCTTTCCTCTTTTTTGGCCACATAACCTCAAGGTGGCATTGTGATAGAACAGAAATGCACAAATACATGGATGAAATGGCACTTCCTTTCGCTTTCACAATTAAGTGTCGTATTTTCTCCCTCCTCTAAAAAAAGAAGAAAAAAAAACCTCACGAAAGTGTAAGATACTGAAGCAAAACGAAAGGCTCGTGTCCTTGTCTCATGAACCTGCCAGCAACTGTGAGTAAAGAATGATGGGTGCATGATAAATACCTCATACAGAAAATCCTTTAAAAATGTCATTCTTCAAGGCTTCCCCAGTCTCTCACTATCAGGTATAAGCTGATATCCCTGACATTAACATACAGGAAATGTAGATCACTCACTAGGAACCTGGCTTCTATTTGTCCAGGAAATGTTTTAATTTTAAATACAAAGAACACTTACTGGCACTCCATGAAGTCCTATATCACCTGGAGGGCCTGGTTTGCCTGGTTCACCCTGAAAGAATGTGTCTGTATTAATTAAATGAAAATTGTTGTTGCAGAAACAAATTAGTATATTGCATTAAATAGGTATCCATCTAATACAGAAACTCGCCCTGGCTGATGGGTGGATAGCAGCCCAATGGGAACCAATATGACACCAGCACTAATGTAAAGGAGTCTAATACCTGTTTATAGTGCCTGAAGTGTGCCATACACAACAGACCAATGTTAGAGCATTTTCTACAGTCCATTGTTTTTCAGCACCTGGACAGGTGCTGCCACAGCCCAGGAGCCTTCTGCAGGGAAGGCAGAGGGCCTAGAGATGAGAAATCCCGCTGGGGCAGCAAGAAAGTGGCATGCTTGACATGGGATGCGGTTGGGTCTGCATCCTAGGTAGGGAAAGCTACGGGGATAAGAGTAAGTACACAAAACAAAATAAAAATCTAAGAGTGGCCTAGTCAAGCTGCCCTGGTTACAGGCACAAAAGAAAGGCTCATAACATGAGTGGAAATGTGTTGGCATCACCATTCTGGCCAGGTCAAGGTGTTACCTCCAGCATCTGATCGTACATTAAGCCACCCTTAAAGGGGTATGGGGACATGGCAAAAACCAGTGTGTAGTGGTATTCTTTACAATGGTGTGGTTGTTGCCATTTGTATTATTACCATGCAGGAAGCAGAGTAAGTGGGGCTGATGAAGAGGCCCTAAGGCTCTAGCCTGCACAGATCCACAAGCAAGGCTTACAGAATTAGCTCCCCAGCCTGTACCCACAGACTACTCTGGAGCGTCACATGGTATTTTTCATGAAGAAGGGGCAGGAACAGGAACAGACAGACTGGCCATTTATTATTATTATTATTATTATTATTATTATTATTATTATTATTATTAAAAGATTTCTATGCCGCCCCTTGCCGAAGCCTCTTTGACATGGGAGACTCATTGGACAGCAACTGCACAGTTGTATCATCATGACCCTTGCTTTGCCCAAATTTCAGTTCTTTTGCGGCCGGCTGGATAGACGTCTTGCACAACCTCTGTGGCAGGGTGTGAAGCTCACTACTGGCAGGGCTCCATCATTCCCTTCCCACACAGAAGCACAAATGATGAAGAGTCACAATTGACTGAAGTTTAAAAAGTGAGAATTGAAGAATTGATGCTTTTGAATTGTGGTGTTGAAGGAGACTCCTGAGAGTCCCTTGGACTGCAAAGAGATCAAATCAGTCGATCCTAAAGGAAATCAACCCTGACTGCTCTTGAGAAGGTCAGGTACTAAAGCTGAAGCTCAAATACTTTGACACCTAATGAAAAGGAAGGACTCATTGGAAAAGAACCTGATGCTGGGAAAGATTGAAGGCAAAAGGAGAAGGGGACGGCAGAGGTTGAGGTGGCTGGATGGGGTCAGTGGAGAGATGGTGTAGGGTTGGGTGTACTCCTGGGAATGGTGGAGGACAGGAGAACCTGGAGGAATGTTGTCTGTGGAGTCACAAGGAGTCTGGCATGACTTTGCGATTCAAACCAAACAAAAAAGTGAGAATCTCTATAACAAGGGAAATTCATGATTGTGGAAAATTGATCAAAGGAGAAATAAAAGTGGAGGTTAACTGGAAAGATCTCTGTGGGGCTCCATGGACTTCTCAAATGGGTTGATAGCCTTTTAGCAGGTAAAGTGGCTTATGAATGTTCATTATAAATAATAGAATAAACATACTGTTAATTTATATTATTTTAAGGAACTTTATTTATGGATGTGAGCCGCCGCGAGGCGTCGGCGAATGGGGCGGCATAGAAGTCTCCTAAATAAATAAATAAATAAATAAATAATAAACCATGGCCCTCATCACACCTTGCTGCTTGTGTTGCATATGTGATAAAATCTGTGATGAAATGATAACAAGATGAAACCATGCTTGCTGAATTTATTTATGATGCTGCTGGCATCCTCCCCATTTTTGTCTCTGCAAGCACGGGAAGTCCAGAGGTGCAGCTACAGAAAGAGCAGCTCAGAGCACAGAGCAGTCCAGAGCAGACTGCAGCAAATGTGGGTTCAACAGGCTGGAGTGTGTGATGCCTGTTGCTCAGGTCCCGCTTCTGTTCCCTACTCAGTTGGTGAGTCTCCTGTTCATCTTGTCCAGCAGCATCCTGTTTCTGACACCTTCCGGTCAAATGCCTCTGAGAAATGTACAAGCATGGAGACAACAGCCGTCCTCCCTTGTTTGATTCCAGCACGTGGTACTTAGAGACATTCTGCTTCTGAACATGTTGTTTCAGGCCATTTAGTTATCACTGCTGACAGAAAGGGCTTCCATTGGCAGAGGTGGCACAAGGATGAACGGATGGATGGATGGGCAGAAGGAAGAAGAGAAGCTTTGGATGGATGGGATCAAGAAAAAGTATATTGGGATTGACTTGACAGAGTAGGATAACTTAAAGCACTCTCACTTTTTGGATAAACCATTAATGTTTTTGAATATAGAGGATTCATTTAACTAATTCAACTAATAATAGCTGGTGGTTTTGTTCTTAGTGCATACATGCAGTATGCACTCATTCTCCATGCATGCCCTCCACCAATCTACACATTATCTTAATTTAGAAAAAAAATGAATTAAACAGTAATGGCAAATTCAGACAAGACGGAGGTCCTGTTGGTGGGTGGTTCGGGCTTCAGGGTGGGGGACTTGGGCCTTGTCCTAAATGGGGTTGCACTCCCTCTGAGGGACAGGGTTCGCAGCTTGGAGTGCTCCTTGACCCTGAGCTGTCGTTAGAAGCTCAGGTGACGGCGGTGGCAAGGAGCGCCTTCCTTCAGCTTCGGCTGATCCATCAGCTGCGTCCCTTCCTGGAGAACGACTGCCTGGTGATAGTGACCCACACGTTGGTAACTTCCTGACTAGATTTCTGTAACGCGCTCTATGTGGGGCTTCCCTTGAAGATGGTCTGGATACTTCAATTGGTGCAAAATAGAGCTGCCAGGTTGCTGACGGGGACTGGGCGTTGTTCTCATATAACCCCAGTTCTCCGTCAGCTTCACTGGCTCCCTATTGAAGTCCGGGCCCAATTCAAGGTGTTGGTTATGACCTATAAAGCCCTTAACGGCTTGGGACCTGGTTATCTAAAGGAACATCTGCGTCCATATATGCCTGCCCGCCCCCTATGATCGGCAGCGGATGCTGTTCTCCGGGAACCCTCTGTGAATGATATTAGGAGGGTAAGTACCCAGAGGAGGGCCTTTTCTGCGGTGGCGCCCCACCTATGGAATGCACTCCCCAGAGAGGTCCGCCTGGCACGTCATTATTTGCTTTTCGGCACCAGGTGAAGACCTTTTTATTTAAAAGTTATTTTAACTGTTAATTTAATATTATTGTATTTATAGATTTTAATATATAGCCGAGATGGTACCAGTTTTTAAATTATTGCTTGTATTTTATGTATGTTGTGAGCCACCCTGAGGCTTTGTTGTGATGGGGGCGGCATAGAAATGTTTTAATTAATTAATTAATTAATTAACTTGAAGTACCTTTTTTCCTGGCATGGCAGGGATCCCTTCACGGCCATTAACTCCAGGTAAGCCCTAGGGAAAAATTAAACCATATGTAACACATTTTTGTTATGTAAGATGTGTTTGTTTTATAATGTCTTTTCTTTGTCTTGCAAGAGAACGGAAGATGATAGTAATTAAAATACGAAAGCTACTATAAATAACTATAACAATAGTAATAATCAAACTATACATACAGTTTCTCCTTTAGGCCCAGGAAGACCAGTAATTCCTCTAGAACCTTGAGGGCCCTAATAAAAATAGAGAAAGAGGTACACTCTGTCAGAAATATTAATGGAAGCTTATCTGAAAAAAGCATGGACAATGATTCCTATAAAATGAGCAAAGATATCAGCCTTGAGCTGTATTTCCCCCCATTTGATTTCAGTAAGTTTTCTCCTGCAACCTCCAGTACTGATTAGAATTTCAGTGGCAGGTTAACTTCTGGCCCTTTGGGAAGTTCTAGCCTCCAACTCTCCTCATGCCTCACTTTTGGTTATGCTGTGTGAGGCTGATGGGAGTTGTAGGCCAAAATATATTCAAGGTGTATAACCTGTAAACCTCCACACAGTTGCTTGGGAATAAGTCTCACTGAACACAGTCAGATTTGCTTCCAAGTAAACAGGGATATAATTCAGCTTCTTATGTTGTGAAATTAATAGGATATACTTAATTGGTCAAATATTAAAAATAACAACTTACTCTCTCCCCTTTGGGACCTTCCTCTCCCAGTAAACCTCTTGGTCCTTGATCACCCTGCAAGGAAATATCCATATTAATTTTTAAAAAGCCCAACCCTTATATCAATTAAATAACAACAGGTAAGTGATTGCTAAAGGCAGAGGAATTTGCAAAGACTTACTGCAGTTGCATGTGGACACATAAGCCTCAAAAGAATGGTCATGATGGCTTTTTGTAGATAATGAGGATTGAACTGGTTGGGATCCTAACGCTGCTCCCACTGGCAGGAGCAGAGCAGAGCTCCCACCACAGGCTGCTTCCACCAGTGAAAGGGAGGAGGCACATTTCCTCCTTCCCCACAAGCTTTTGAGACCCCTGAAAATCTGCCCTGGAGGGTTTGAAAACCCTCTGAAACTGTTTGGAGAAGCTGCAAGCCAGGGGCAAATTGGCAGAAATCACCTCCCCCCACCTTCTGCTATCCCCAGGAATCTCTGCTGGATTCTCACCCATCCATGGATAGAAAGAGCACTTCCGTTTGCAGAAGCCTGCTTAGGATCCCAGGTCCTGTGCACAGGGATCTCGCTTTCTTCAAATGTAGGGAAGCCTCAAGAAAAGTCAATTCTCAGCCTATTATAAACTGGAAATGTTATAAATGCATAGCAGGAAGAGCCAATAAACCCCTGCCAAGGAAGCTCCCCTAGCACCAAACCTCTTGCCTTTTGGTATCAAGCAAAAAAATTTTTTATTCACACAGGTAGTTCAGCATGTTATAACTGTTTTCAGTTTAAAGATATAGCTCTGGAGGGTTTTGCTGATTTTATGGTTGCAGTTTCCTTGCTTTTATCTTTGCTCTGTTTGCTGTTTTATTGTAATTTTATGATCAATTGTATGCTACCCTGGGAGCGTAATACGGAAAGGCAGCCTAGAAATTATCCAAACAAACAAGGCTGTGAAATTCTAGGCTTCCTTACTGATGTGACAACCGCTCCAGGGATTTGAGCGCAACTTTGGTAAGGACAGCCTGAGTCCAGCAGGGCTCGTCACGTAAAATGCATCTGAAACACTAGCCTAGTTATGAAATGCTCGTGCTCAATTATTCCATGTGCTTCAGGGACAATTTTCTCGTAGAAGTACAGAATCATAACGATCACTTTGTGCACACGCATAGATGAAATGCATTAAAAACCCTTGGTGAGGACAGCCACACCAAATCACGCATGAACAGACATCTCCCTACGGTTCTTGATGCTAAAACTGAGCCTGCTGGGGATGCGGGACGTGATAAATGTGCGTGTCTCCGTGTCTCTCTGTGTGATACTGATCTGAGAGTGACCCCCAACGAGAAGGCAGTAAACGTGGAGCGGCGGCATGCAGAATGCACCAGGCTTTGTGGGGGGTGGGAAATTCTGCTCCATCGCACTACCAGGAATAACCGTTGCAGAAACAGCACCACGTGGGGCTCAGCAGAAGCTGCCAGGAAATCAAAAGGAATTACTCCTGCAGGGATGCAGCAGGCAGCCTGATTTGTCAGTTCTTCGGGCTCCCAGGGCACCACAGATTGCAGATGTGACGTATTCTCCCATCACAGATAAGCCATTTTCCCAGGCCACCCGAACATGCTTGAGCGCAGAGCCTGGGAACTGCTGGACTAGAGGCTTTATAAAGCTGAAATGGGGACTCATCCAGTGGGAATGCCGAGGCAGCTGGTCCGATGCGTTTCATTGCAAATCCTGTGGTGAGGTGAATGAGCCCGAGATATTTGCGGACAAATGGATAAACTTACAGGTGCCCCAGGAAGACCTCGAGGACCAGGATCTCCATCAAGACCACGTGCACCCTATATTAAATAAGCATACGTATAGGAGTATTAGCAGATACAGTCGAAATATACTCTGCATGTTTATTAACTGTCATCAAAGCCCAGCAGGAAGACCGCAGATTTGTTCCTGTCTGTATTTGGCCCCAGTGTATCAGTCCTTTAACCTAGATCCCCAACCTTTTTGGACCTCTGATGCATTTGGGTATTTGAGGGTGCCGAGACAAAATGACTCCCACGGACAGTGTGGCTAGTCCCGTAAGGACTGCTGTGGGGTCTGGCTATTCATCTCAGAACTAGAGGAGAGAAACAGTGAGCCTGGAGGTTGCGGGGAAGGAGGAAATAGCAAGGGAAAGAGGTTACAGGTAGGGAAAGGGCAAGGCTAGAGGCTGGGCTGGGCTGAGGGGGATGCAACAAGGCAAAGTGGTGGGGAGAGAAACAGTGAGGCTACAGGCTATTCGAGGGTGTGGGAAAACAGGAAGGCAAAGGAGAGCAAGGCCAGAGGCTAAGAGGGGAAGAGACAGTGAGCTGAAGAGGCAGGGAGGATAGAAACACTGAGGCTAGAAAGGGAGAGAAAGAGATTACCCAAACATTGTCCAACGTTTGATTACATGTGTTCTTTTGAAGGGGCAGGAATGGAAAGCCTCTTGGCCCCCCTTGCAGGTGTCTCTAGGAGCCGTGTAACCCATGGGTGCCATGCTGGGGATCCCTGCTTTAACACTTTAGAAAGGGGGCCATACTGGGCTGGATGAGCTGGGCTGGCAGGCCCCATTTGGCCTACAGGCCAATATTTCCTCTTACCCATTGTAAATATATTTCATTGTAAGGCACTGCCATCTTTGCCTAAGTCCCCATGTCCTGTATGTAACACAGGAGTGCGCTATTCTACAGAAATACAGCCAATTCTGCTAAAACATGCTGCTGTGGAACTCTTACAAGAATCCTTTAGTGAGGAGTCAATTACAACTGAAAAGAAACAGCAAAGCTATCAGAGAAAATGTAAAGTAATCAAGAAGCCGTAGCTTGGAAAAAGGCTATATGCATTTAAACGGACAGGGCAGCGTGAGTAAATGGTAAGTGTAATGGCCAATAGCAATTCTGATGACTCAAGAAAATAAGCTTCCTGGCTGTACTAACAGGGTTTCATTCTTGATCAATAAGAGATTCAGGGAGTTCAGAATAAGGCTGGGTGAGTAACAGCGTTGCTAATCAGAAGGGTAGTGCTAAGTTTAGTTTTGATGATACAGAGGATGAATGTACGTGGCATTTTAAAAAATGGATAACATCAGTAAAATAAGGAAAGCGTCAAAAGCTAGTTGGCTCATGGCATAATACATGCTTGGTGTTTAGAGTTTAGAGTGCAGAACTGGTGAGCCCTTTTCTTTTCAATAATTTGGAACTCTTTATGAAATTATAGAAATGCATTCAGAATACTGCCGGAAAAGCCAGGATATATAGAAATAGCAGAGTTTATTGTATTTTTCTACTCAGGTGAGAAGCAGCCAGATCTACTAATGTGCGAAAACAGAACCCACCAATCAGTAAGGGAGAGGAAAGTTTAGGAAGCTGGCAATCCCATTCCCATTCCAGAGTCTTTTTTGTTCATAATGTAAGGCTATAAATCTATCCAAGTTTAGACATAATGCGGAGAAGTTGTATGGCTTCTTTCCACCTAAACATGCCCAAAATTACGGAAATGTTACAAAATGTAAACTCAGACAGATTCATGTGCCCAGCAGAGTTAAAAAGAAACCCTTCATATGAACATTCAACTATTTTGCTTTCCATTCATAAAGACATAGTCTAGATCTTAGATCATCTTTAGATCATCTTTCTCAAACAAGTTTCACATGAGTTTCTTCAATCTGGTGCCCTCTTAATATTTTGAACTTCACTTCCCATCAGCCCCAGTCAGTATGGCATTGGCCAGGAATGCTGGGGTCTGTATTTCAAAACATCCGGTGGGTACCTGGTTGGGGAACTCAGAGTCAGGGGCATTCATACATGCAGCTGGAAAGGGAACATCTAAGGAAACGGGCACCGTGTGCAGAATCCCAGCCAAATACAACTGCCAGCAATGCTCATGTGTCATCTCAGCCAGGTAATCAGCACTAGAACTGAGCAGCTGTCCAAAACCGAGGGGAGCAGAGAGCCAGGCCGTCCCCACTGTGGGGAGGCACACGGATGCATATCTAACAAAACCAGGTTCTTAATGGTCGATGTAACATGGCTTGCTTACTTTATCACCATTGGGTCCCGTTATGCCAGTTATCCCTCTCGTTCCTTGAGGACCCTGGAAGGCAAATGTTATTGTAAGTGCATAGCTTGGGCACCTGCTTTATCATCAGAGTGTGTGTACTAATTTTCAGATGAAATATTTCTAGAATAACACACCTTTTAAAAATGATTTTTCCACTCTTCTTAATTAAAAGAAATAAATGCTTAAAGAGCGTTTGCTATTCGTAAAATAAAAAAGGCCCTAGCTAGGGAACATCCTATGTCACCTGCAAGTGCACTAAAACCTCGGACACAGCACTGCAATCAAGAACATCGCTGTGACTTACAAGTCATGATATGGTGCTTTGGGTATGCGGCCTGTGCTCGCTCCCTCCCCCCTCCCTCCCCAACCTCCCTTCAGAGCCTGTTCCCCCCATGAATGCCACCCTTGTCCCCCTCAGTCCCTCTTTTCGGCCAGATACGTGAGATTTCCCTCAGTCCCCTTAATGACCTCGTTGCCATTGAGTTTTCAATACAGGGTTAAGGTCTTAAATCACCAATGGCAAGACTAGACATGGCAAAAATTGTAACAATATGCAGAGGGAAATTCTAGCTAAAATTAGTTATGAGTAAATTATACCAAAAGCAACAGCGGCTAATTCAGTTGCCAATACTGTCCCACACTGCTTTCTACACAGTCACTTACAATCAACTGAAGTTGGATCAGGATCTTTTCGAGATGGATGGATATACACATATTGTTATTTCTGTCATTCAATATATTTTCACTAAAAGCAGCTAACATTTAATTAAAGGGAATACTTTACTGAAGGGCCTTGAGTTCCGATGTCACCTGGTTCTCCTTGTTCACCTTCTTCTCCCTAAATAGGCATAAAGCACAATAGTTTTGTTCATACAGCACTCTCAACCCCTAAGGGTTGTGTACAGATTTATTGTGTACAGATACATATCACATTTAGTGTATCTGGCACACATTATGGTGTACGGGCAGTATATGTGAAGCTTCCTCTTGCAGAGGTTCACACAGGAACTGCCATTGGGTTTTTTTATATTATCTGTATGTAATACAAGTAACAAGAACTGCACAGCACATGCACACACACACAAATGTTCCCTCCTTGTCTTCACTATTTTAACTCTGGGGTTGAATACACTTGTCAATATCCTTTGTGTATCTCTAAGCCATGTTTAAAATGTCTCCCCAGACATTGCTGGAGGCTGTGACTCCAGAACAATTTACCAGGACCGGGGTTTGTGGCCAGTTGCCTGTTTGTTTACAAAGGAGATCAATGGAAACCACATGCTTGGATATTTCTCGTGATAGTCCGCTGAGGGGTTAATGTCACAGAGAATGCATCTTCAAAGAACTTAGAGACCCAAGCCTTGTATCAAGAAGCTAAGGCAGAACCTCCAGTCAGGAAAGCGTTAGCTTTCTGTGCCCTTGCACACTGTCAGGTATGGAGAGAAGTGTGAAGAGTGGGGCAGAGAGTACCATACAAGACCCCATTTTATATCATTCCAAAGGCTCCACCCTAAAAAATTTGAACTGGAGGCACAAAAAAGTAACAATCACTCCTCTCCCAGTGATTGCCCTTCAAAATAATTTGAGTCTATTGACTTTCCATTTCCTCTTACCTTATGGCCTTGTTTTCCTGGTTCACCAGACTCGCCTTTTGCTCCCTTGTGACCCTAAAATGTAGGAGCAAGACCCAGAGTGTAAGCATTTTAAGTGCACATTCTTCTAATGCCAAGGCTGCAAGCTGACTAATTTTGTCTGATCCAGCCAACTTGGCACCTGCCCAGTTAGAAGATTTAAATTGATGTAACTAACTTGGTGCATATCAGGCAAGGGACAAATGATACGAGAACATGCATATGGCTTGGATAATGTTGTGGAAGACCCATGCTTACAGTCTTGAGTTATAGGAATGTAGCCACTGTTAATTCTACTTAGAATGCACCCCTTGAAATGAATGAGGCTGAAGTCAGACTAGAAGCAGTCACAGCCAGTGCCAGTTCCAGATTGTTGAGGGCTCTTGGTCAAGATACTGCAGAATGGGCTCTCTCCCTCAGTAAGTCCACCTTTTTAATCACCAGTTCCTACTGCTCTTCATCCTTTTTCTCACCATTGTTCCCTTACCACTGGCCTGCTTGACAGGCAGAGAACTAGTGAGCAAGTAGGCAGGTACATCTGCAGTTTCTTCAGCTCACCGTTTCTGTTGTCCAGGCCAGGGCCTGAGTCAGCCAAGTGAGCAGGTTGCAATGGTGAAGAGGAAGAGCAAGTCCTGGAGCTTCTGCCACAAGGCCAGGTTGAAATGTGGGTCCTTGCCAGTGCCCAGCTATACATTGGATCCAGATATATCCCATAATCCCCCTTCTGAAGCATCTTTTCTAACTGGGTAAATAACAATTGCTATTGTCCGTCCATCCATCCGTCCTTCGCATAGGGCCTTCAGTTAGCATGGCACTTCACAGAGCACTCTAAGTCCCTGCCCCAAGGAACTTACAATTCAAAATCTCACAAAAATGAAATAACAGCAAAGGAGAGCAAAGGGAAGGCCAGAGTGAACAGGGAAGGAATATGTCATTATTCTGTTTACACATGCTCGGACTTAGTTACAGAGGGACTACCTAACCAAAGAGACTACTTGGCAGTGAATATAACCCATTTTCCAAGTTGTTTAAAGACTTAGCAGCCTGTATGGCAATTGTTCTGTGGCATCCTACATTAAGTTGAGGAAATACCTGAAGTTCTTAACCATTTTAGGAATAGAGGTAGCAAAATTTAGTTTGGAAAGGTCATGTTGTAAATAATTGCCTTTGGACCTTTCAACCACGTCCTAACTATCACTAAAGCCACTCTGTTTGCTAATAGCCACTTCTTCCATCTGCCATCACAGAAGGAAGGAAAAACAACATTTAAATGAAGAGAATATTTACACAAGCCACAAGACCAAAGAAGGTGAATTCAGAGATGACCAAGCCATTGAGCTTTAAATGTGTTGTAATAACTGCGCCATCGTTTCAATGTTTTCCCCTCTATGCAAGAGGCCATGTGTGGGACTGATGTTCTAACAATGTGGTAGGTTACTGAGTTCCACTCCTGGGCTTCATCCTCATGCCAAGTGAGATCTAGTCACACTTGCTGCACATACTGAAACACGCAGGTTCTCTTACCTTCATGCCCATTAGTCCAGCATGCCCTGGTCGGCCAGGTGGACAAGCATTGGGACACTGAAAAAGAAGCCACCAACTAAGTGAATACGCATACAGAACTTTTAAAAGGAAAGCTTTTAGCCTTGCCCCCAAAGGGAAACTAAATGTCTTACCAGTGGATCTCCATCACGCAGCCCAACTGTTCCCTGGTGTAGATGAACAACAATTTAAAAACAGAATTGCCATGACAGCAAAATGTACACAATACAGAATCAACATTGTTTCCTGCAAACCCCAGATTTCTATTTTCATTGCTCCATACACTTTCCCTTGCCCCAGGAAGAGTTTTTTGCTGAAGATGGTGAAAGGATTAAGGCAGAAATGGAGTCAGCCTGGTACTCATTGATTTGGATCACATGGCAAAATAACCCTGGTGGGATGTCACAGTGGGTTGTTCCAGAGTGGTTCTCCATGACATCTGAACTTAAGAGTAGTTTGGGTTTTTTCCCATCATGGGTTCTTTTCCATTGACCAGCCATCCTGAGAACACATGGCTTTTTCTTGGGTTGTTCATGGTGACTTATCTTTAGGGAGGGTTAGTATGATATGCAAACACACCTAATCTGTACAAACACACCTAATCTGGATCAGTTCTTCTTTATCTGCTTGTTTATCTTTTTATTTATCCTCTTCCCCCTTCCTCTCTCTCATACACTCATACACGCAATTGCTTTTTCCACATGCAAGAACAATGAATGCATAGTATGTAAATAAGGTCTCTGTGGGTGTTTCTTTCCCAAATTGAAATGACATTCTGTAGGGATGTACCTGCAATGCGATCTTGAAAAAGTGTTCAGCCCATTTCCTTGTTATCCTTGACCTGAACTTGGCCACATGAGAGATTTTTCTTAATACGACTGGGATTTCTATGGACTGCATATCCTACTGAAGTTATAAGCAAATCCGTCCTAAGCAACCTTTACAAAATGACCAGTATATCCTCCAATGTTGCTGGAGCACTATCAACATTTGGCAGGATGTAAAGTGAATGTTGGAAAAGCTGGGACCTTTCCCTAAATGAAATAAGGATCGGCCTCTGGAATTCTTTCAAATGGCTGGCACCACTCTGAAGCTTATTCCTTGTTCATGGTAGGCACCTGCTATACTAGAAACAAGGCAAGATCCCCAACTACCCTGCTGCTTCCAGCATAAACGAAGCCTAAAGTGAAATCTCGCATCTTGTACAGGTGCCCATTTATCATTCACAAGTCCTGAAAATTCAGTACAGTAACAGGTCAACTGGTACCGCTTAAAGAAATGCCATAGCAAAACAGATCTAGAATGCGGCATAAATTAACATTAGTGCTAAACCACAAAAAGAGCCCTTCACACTTTGAAGAGAAAGCCACTTTGAAAGAGTCAGGTAACATACAACAAATAACGATCCATTTCTAATTCTAACGAATTCACTGTTGATCTTGTGTGCTTACCCTGGGGCCTGGAGGGCCTGGTACTCCGGAAGGGCCTCTTTTTCCAGGATCACCCTAAAACGTTTAGAAGTGTCAATACTGCATATCAAAAAGCTACGAGGCAGGCATAAGCTCAGTCCTATTATAAACCAGGCTGAAGCAACCCCAGAGTTCAGTAACACTGTAGTTCAAGAAAATTCAGGTTGCACAGAATATGGGGAAAAGCTGTAAATGACATGAAGGAATAATAATTACTGTCCTCTGTTTCTTTTATCTCTCTCATAAAAAATGAACGACCCTGACATATGGAACTTTATTATTAAAGCGCTTAGTGGCTATTAAAGGGAAAAAACCAACATGGGCAGATGCATGCATGTGGTACTAGAAATCTCAAACATCATTAAGCTCCTGCTACACAAACAGCCACTCATTGTGATGATCACTTGCACACAGTCCTGGAACGAGATCCCTACACGGGGGATTCATTGGTGTGCCAACACGCATCGATCCTCCCGCATCTCGTGATGGAACCATTCAGACAAGCAGCTTGCCATCTGAGGCGCCCTCCCCACGGTTATCTCGCCAAGCAGCATGCATAGAAATGATCGGATTGTGAGGCAGTCATCATTTGACAGGGCTCTGATGAGTCTTCCTGCAGGCCGGCTCTCTGCCCTGCTAAGCTGCTGAAATGGAGCATGGGAGTCATTTCAAACCAGTATCTTCCCACAAAAGTGCGAACGAAGCAGAGTCTCCCCATGAATGGCACCCCGGGCATGAGCCTGACAGCAGAACTGGCTTGGTTGCACAGCTGTGAAGGGACCTGGGTCCGTGCATGCCCCAACTCTGGCCACCTTTACAGGGTGGATGAGTTTCCCTGGCAGGTGTCAATGCTTTTGTAGAACCCAAGGCAGCCTGCTGCAGTGGCCAACAGGGAGTGGAATCAAGGCTGGATGCAGTCCCATTGAAAAGAGCTGCTGGCTCCTGGGGAAGCCAGACGCTCACCTCCCTTGCACGATTCCATGGCAAGCAGTGCTTCTAAAGGGAGCTAAGCCAACGCTCAGCCCCAATCCCACTGAAAAGCAGGGGCAGCTGGGGGCAGCCTGCCTAGTGGGTGATGCAATGTCTGGCAGGGGGAGAGAAAATGTGGGGGGCGAGGGACAGCTGGAGGGGACTGCAACTGAAGCCTTGCAATTAATGCATGAAGCAGCCCAAAAGGCTCCATATGTAACTTCAGCTCTACAACATCATAAAATCTCGAAACAAGAGAATATTATCTAACGCCAGGCTTTTTTTGTATCTCAGAAAAGGATTACAAATTCATGCTGTTTATAAGGAGCTCAACAATAGTGTTTATAGGGTTTAAGGACTGGATCTGAAATCATGCAGAATGCATAAGGAGTTAAAAGGATAAGAGCAACCTGCTAAAGCAAACACAACCATCTGGGGTCCATCTAATCCAGCAACCTGGATCTTCCAGTGGCCAACCAAAGAGCTCTTGCAAACCCTCCTGCAGAAGTTGAAGGCAATAGTTCTCCCTCACAGTTGCTCACTGGCAGCTGAAATTCTGAGGTATGCTTCCTCTGAGCATGGAGGAAGTCCCTCTTAGCCTTCATGGCCAATATCTGTTATTAACATGCCAATATCTCTCTGAATTTGCCTAATTGTCCTTTAAAGACATTAAAGTTCATGGCCACCTGCACATTTTGTAGCAGTGAAGTAATTATGCCACCTGTAAATAAGTTCTTTCTCCAGTCTCTCCTGAATCTATACTAAATCATTTTCAGAAGGTGACCCCCATTTCTAGCATTATAAGAGATGGCGGAGAAACATTGCCTCTCCTCATATTGTTTGCTCCATGCAGAATAATGTCCACAAATGGGGATGTCCTTTAATCAATCCTTTTTCATCCTGTGGCATTAAATGTGTAGCGCGAATCCTAAGATAAGAGGATGTACAAAAGGAAGCTCATCGGGGGAAAATCCCCATCCGCCACTGCCCCCTTCTCCATAACCGTCTGCACTTGCTCCACAGGCTGCCAAGAAATGTGTGATACTACAAGGGGAATCCAGAGCGGGGAGGGGAATCCTAGAAAAGTGGATAAAGATCCTCCCAGCACTAAGTGATTCTCCCTTTTGCAGCAGCCTTCTCAGAGCCTGTTCCTTGTTGCGCAGGAGGGCCCCGCAACTTTCCGGAGAGGTTGGTAGAGGCTCCAGTGAGCTGCAGTAGGAGATGGGTAGCAGAACCCTGTTGGCACTAACCTTCTATTCACACATCTTAGCATCCAAAGGATCACAATATTATTCATAGCAGCCTATGACAAAGGTCTACACAGCAAATAAACCTATTCACATGGCTAGGATGACTTGCCGCTGGAAGACCATAACTGGAAGCACCCGCGTGCTGAGTTTTACTTCTAGGTAATTGTGTTTAGGACCTCTGTTTGATTTGTTCTGTCTTTCCACTGACCAATAGCCAAAGCTCTCAAGGAGGTCATGTGCCAGCCATCCCAAACGTAGCATGAACATTTAGCCAGCAGGCAAACATAACACAAACCAAACCAACAATTTATTAGAATATGCAGTGAACTACTCACAGGTGGCCCAACTCGACCCACTTCTCCAGGAAGCCCTGCTGTTCCAGGAGGGCCCTGCATTAGAAAAGATATGTTATTTGGTGAAGCTCCAAGTTCAAAGAAGAGACAGTTTTCTAAAGAGAGGAACTGATTTCAGGTCAAGTAGAACCTCTCTGACCTGAAGAGTTAGATTTAAATAAAATGCAATAACATGAAGATAAAGGACATACAAGGTCAACACCTGCTAGATGGAAGCCTCCACCCTTGGAGGCATTTGAGTGTCTTATGACCTGCTGGTTTGCTGCCCACAGGTTTGGAGGAACACTGCAGGTGAGCGTCACTTCTCTGCTCTCCTATGCCAACTTGTGCCTCTGGATAGACATGCCTAGGGCAGCCTGTCTAGGTGAGGCCTACTGCCTGGGTCCGGCTCGGGTGGAACAGCCAGAGGAGATGCATATCTGGCCCCTTCTTCTCCCCTGGCTTTTCTTCTCCACTCCCCATCCACCAGGATACCCCACTGGAATTTGAGATGTGACTATAGCTTTGGGAGGGGGGAATCCAAAAAATCCTATGGCCCCTGAGATGCTCCCCAGGGACCACAGAACTGCTCCCTTCAGTTGTTTCACTTATTTATCTTGATCTATTGTGATTCAAACTACTGATAGTTGATTAAATTGTACTTACAGGAGGTCCAGGAATTCCTTTTCCCTGAAGGAAAAAAAGAGTTTACTGCATTTTTGTTTTCCTGTATATATTCAGATTCATCACTTGCCAACAATAAAAGCATTTAACCAACTTCAAGGTGCTTGTTTTGAACCCCTGGAATAATAAAGCCTGGTTTTCTGCTGTCAGGGTATTTAAGATGGCTAACCATTTCAACTAGTTTTAACCAATTATCTTTGTAGTACATGCTGTATGTTATTGAGCAATCATTATTTAGAGAAACTTTTATTATCAGAACAACTCAAGCAATTTTCTTTAGAGATTAATCTAGCCTTTAAGGCACAACATCTTCAAGTGCAACTTACAAAGCACTGTTTCTAGGAGCATGAATGTGTGCAAATCTTTCAAGAAGAAGCAAAAGGAGTGGGGAAGTTTCAGGAAGATGGGCAAAAGCAACCCCAAGCCTTTCTACAGACAGCAGGGAAGGAGCCCTGGCCGAGCCACCTTTTGGTGCCAGCCCACCTGCCCGGGCCACCCTGGTGAGCATCCCCACAGCTCACCAAGGTGTTGTGAGGCCAGCAGGGGGGGCAAGCAGGCAGTGGCAGGGATGGGCAGTGGCACTGAAGGCCATGCAGATTTAGCCGTTCCCATAGTGGTCACTGGGCAGGGGGCCCAGAGCATCCCACTGCATCCCACTAACTCCCCCCATCTACCCAACCACCCTTCAGCAGGACTGGGATAAAATTCTGAGTGTTCTGTGTTGATAGCCACTTTTCCAACAGTAGCTAGGGTTGCTTTGACCTGCTGTAGGTATTCCTTTCTACTCTTTTGCGTAAGAGGTATGCAAAACTTTCTTAAGCTTTTGTTCTGTTACCAGGATGCAGCCCTGAGCCTTGGAAGTGACTATAATATATTCCTTTCACTCCCAACCCTTGATAAATTTGCTATACAAGGTTTTTAATTTGCCTTCTCAACTTTCAGTTTAATCACAGAATTGAGATCTGAGCATCACATGAAGAGTGTTCCTTTCCTGCTACATATCCTCTAGGTGGCACTGTGGTAACAGCATAAATATGCAAGAGGGAAAAACAGCTTCTTGTGCTTTAAGAAATAACACCCCATTTTGGCTGCTCCAAAATGAACTTGCTGAAATCCTGGTTAGATCCAGAAATGAAGCTAGAGAGTCATGCCATTGTCTAAGGAATTCGTAAACCACTGTAAGTAGGAACAGATGAGCACACAATAAATGCTAGTGTGGAAAATCAACAGTCTCCAGGAAATCACAAAAGAGGCTTCTCCTGCCATTTCCAGAGCAGCATCCTATGCAACCATAGGGATCAATTGGTTGTGACTGCCAGATGGCAGTTTTGATTCTGCTTTAGCAGCTTAAAGCCATACTCTGGGTGTGTAGATCTGTGTTGCCACAACTGGCTGCACTGGGGAGTCAACCCAAGTTTCCTCCCACGCAGGAGCTGTTTCTTCTGCCACACTGTGCTCCATTACAGCTTTCCATAAGGTCAGTAGGCAACTCTTTACTAATAGTGAGTATTCCTGCCACAAAGAGGATGATGCATCATGTGGGGTGGTGCTTACAAGCATGGGACGGGGCTCAGGCGATCCGGGTTCTAGTCCCCACCCAGCCATGGAGGTCACTGGGTGGCTTTGGGCCAGTCACAGACCCTCAGCCCAGCCTACCTCACAGGGTGGTTGCTGTGAGGATAAGATTGAGACATGGAGGAGAATTACATAAGCCACCTTTGATGCCTTGCAAGAGGAAGAGAAGTGGGATACAAATGTGACGATAACAATGATGATGCCTCAGCTTGAGATAGGCTGGCTTAAGCCACCTACACCATATAATAGATGAGATGCTATGCTTTGAGAGCCATTATCCAGCTATCTTTAATCAGCTGATACAATACTTCATAGTCTTGGATACGTCTCAGAGTTATATTTCATCTCCACTGTTTGTTTGTTTTTAATTCTGATACTGCAGGTGACACAGTTATTAAAAGCAAGGTGACTTTCTTCTATTCCGTCTGCTTAAATCGGCAGCTATTGCAAGTTATTCTGAGTGATCGTTCACCACACGCCCTGCTAAATCACTCCGCTGGGAAACCAGCATCTGCAAAAACCTCCTCATCAGCCATCTTAGCTTTGCCATCTATCAAACTACTGCAATTTGCTTGCATTATGGCCAACAAATGTTTTAGGTAACTGTTACTGTTACCAGCTTAATATTTCCCAGCAAAAGCATGTTTTCCTATTCATTCTCAGCTTTACATAGCCTTTATTTTTTAAAAACAAACAAACAAACACAGGTCCAGAAGGAAGGTTGTAATACCATCTGGAACCCTTCTGAGAAAGGAAATTAAGGTTGTCCTATGGCATTTAGGTTATTTTCTGACCACTTGTCTTCTTAATTTTTTCTTTTGTATATACTTTATTATTATACTATTTTCTGCTCAGCCACCTTGAAAGTATAAGTAAATAATACCTGTATGTAGGTGTATGTAAATAATAGTAACAATAGTAATACAGGTAAGTCATACAAAGTCATAAAGTTCTGGACTGCACTGTGGTCTCTGAGGGCCACACAAAATCTGACGATGTGGAATGTGCTTTTGCATATTTTGCTTGTCCTGCAAGGAGCTGCCGGGGGGGACCTGGTGCAGGGCCAGCACAGCATCAGAGGCAGGGAGAGATTTCCACCCTTCCACCTACCAGGAGCCCAACAAGCATCGTGGCCACACTGTTTCTGTCTTTGCATGGCCAAGACAGAAACGGTGAACAAACAGGAAGACCTTTCCATTGTTGGCTCCTCAAGTTAGTTGGCCTCCCTCCTAAATATTTTTCAGATCTGCCAGTTCATGCAATAATTCATATTCTAGAAAAACTTTAATGTACCATTCAGAGTGTCAGTGCTTGTTGTACAATTAATTCGTTTTCGAAAATGTCATGTTTCTGCAGATAGGCTGGGCTATGAATCAAAAGGGAAGAAAAAGAACTTTTTAACTCTCAGGTGTTTTCCCACCCTTTTTTAGAGCAAGAAAAGTCTGCTATTTGCCTGGCTGTCACCAATATTTGCTATGGAAGCCTTGTGTATTACACAGTCCTGCTCTATGCCATAGCACCATCTTGTGTTGTATAATAGAACATAGAGAACGTGTGTGTGTGCAGAGAGAGGGAGGGAGGGAGAGGGAGGGAGAGAGAGAGAGAGAGAGAGAGAGAGCGCACATGCATGAACACACATGTGAACATATAAAAGGCAGAGAGGCACTCTCCCCCTGCCCCACCTGCTGTGGAACCTCAGGGGCAGAATGTTCTAATAATCCTGAAAAGAAATAGAAGCAGTAGCCCTAGTCAAGAGCCAGATTACATGCAAAGAAGCCCTAAACCTGTTCCTGCCCAGAAACATGACAAGAGACCTAATTTTTGTACTCTTCTGTTATTTCAAACTGGTTGGAAAATCCCTCAGTGATCTATGAATGAAGAAATTATCCTTGTCTTTTTCAGTTCTAACAAAAATGTAATGTGTAGTATTGTTTTTAAATAAATAGCATACAGAGATCTATCACTTACAGGAAGCCCACGACCTCCAGGCAGCCCAGGTTCCCCCTGCAAAAAAATAAATTTTATATTATTTGGAAAGATTTTTTTAAATGATACAGTGAATAAAGAGGTAATAGCATAAGGTAACATTTATGTCAGCATTAGATACTCTAATAATAAACCCTGAATTAATAGCTTGGGTACTTAGGATAATGTAAAAGAACTTTGAGACAGAGAAATGGAAAAGGTGCCCTTTTTTGCCTACAGGTTGTTGTTACGTGCTATCAATTCATCTGGTGCCCCTGGGATTGAATGCCCTCCAACATTTCCTGTCCTTCACAGCCCTGCTCAGCTCTTGCAACTCCAGGCTGCAGCTTCCTTTATGGAGTTGAACCATCTCATATTTGGTCTTCCTCTTCTTCTGCCTTCGACTTTCCCTGGCATGCTTGTCTTCTCCAGTGGGACTTGCCTTTTCACAGTGGACACAAAGTATGACCAGTTCAGTTTCAGTTTGCTTCCTCGGCAAGTTCTGGCTTGATTTGATCTAGGACCCACTTTGTCATCTTTCTTTCAGTCCAGGGGATTTGCAAAGCTGTCCTGTACCACCACGTTGCAAATGCATCAGTTTCCTTCCTGTTAGCTTTCCTTACTTTCACACCCGTATAAAGTGGCATAGATGACCTTTGCTTTGGTCTACAGTGAAACATCTGCACACTTGATGACCCTTTCTAGTTCCGTCACTGCTGCCCTTCCAAGTCTCCATCTTCTTCTAATTCCTGGGCTGCAGTCTCCCTTTGCTTTGATGACTGAGACAAAGTATGTAAAATCTTTTAGAAAGTCAATTTCTTCATTCTTGACAGTAAAGCTACATAATTCTTCTGTAGTCATGTTTTTTGTTATCTTAATGTTCAACTGCAGTCCTGCTTTTGCACTTTCTTCTTTCACTTTCATCAGCAGATATTTCAATTCATAGCTGCTTTTTGCCAGTAATATGGTATCATTTGCATATCTTAAGTTATTGATGCATCGTCCACCAATTTTCACTCCTCGCAATCCTCTGATGCTAATCCATCTTTCCTTGCAGTATGACCTGTCTGCAGATTCAATAGATATGGAGATGAATGCATTCTTGTCTGATGTTTTTGCCTACTGGAAGCCATTCAGTTTCTTCATATTCCTCCCTCCCTTGTTTACAGGTTACCCATCAAGTGTTGATCACATGTCGAGGCACCTCCATTTCCTTCAAAACCAGCCACAGCATCTAATGATCCATACAGTCAAAGGCGTTGTCCTAGTCTACAAAGCACAGACTGATCTACAATTCTCTGTTGTGCTCCAGTAGCTAACATATATTTGCAACATGATTGCAAGTGCTTCTTTTAGAAATGAGCTGATTTGCATAAAGAAGAATATTTAAAAAATAAACAAGTAAATAAAGAAATAGTTTTAGCCTTACCTTTTGACCTTTTAGACCAATTGAGCCAGGTGATCCATCTGGGCCTGTCAATCCCTTTTGAAACAAGGCATAGATTGTTAATAGAATACTAATTATCCTTTTGATTACTGGAAGGAACTGTTTATAATATGTTCCTAAAATGCAAAAAATGCCAACTATCAACTGAATGCTATGAGAATAGTAAATCTTAAGCAAGAAAATAATATTGTATTGTTGAATCCAAAGATCCCTTTCCTCCACTGGATTTTTTCTACAATCAGAAGAAGTGAACCTTTAGTCCAACCCTAAGTGAGAAGCATTGAACATTCCTAGAAAAGCAATCAAATGCTAATCAAATTCAAACTTGCCTGAAACTTGCAATTGTGCAAGGTCTAGATTTTGTATTTTGCCTCTTTTTAACCACAAACCAGGCCAAAATCCAGCCTCAATTTAAGTCTGCTTAGAACCCATGGAAATTAATGAGCTTAAGAACACAACTCTTATGTTAAACTCTGTCACCTAAGTTATCATTGCCTTGTGGATTCTCAACAATTAATTTATGGGTCATATCTAATACTGATCACGTGCCTACATGTTCCACCGACTCCAGTGAGGCTTTCTCCCAGCTATCGGCTGAAAGCCTAAATGAGTCATTTGTTTTAAATTAATGGTTGTCCACAATGAATGAATCAAAAAGTGGGGGGAAGGTACTGCTCAAGAAACAGTACACTGACTGTGGCTCAGTATTTAATGAACGGATTAATGAAGCAAAGCTTCAACTCTTTTATGGCATGGATGAATGGAAACAATCTTAACAAAAACTTTTATTATTGGGATAGCTGCTTGAATAAATGTTCATCCTGCTTCCTGTGATTATTTATTTTAAAAATGCCAGTTAGATTTATAAACATACATATACAGTGGCAGTGGCCATAGTTTGATCGGCCCTCCCTAACTGGTGGCCTTTGGAAGCAATTGGACTGCAACTCCCAGAATTCGCATCCAGCAAGACCACTGACTGGGAATTCGGGGTGTTGTGGTCCAAAAGTGCCTGGAAGGCCAAAGGTTGGAGAAGGCATACATAAGGCCACATTACAGTTTAATGACCCATGGCATAGCAATTTCAATTAATATACAAACAGTAATACCATATAAAGACTTCTTGCATATTACACCTTTATTATGGCTTATTAGGCAAAAGGGCAAACACAATTGCTTTGTCGCTGAGGAATGTACCTATCACATGCTTACTGTTGAAGATACTGAGCTGACCAGTTCTGGAACAGAAACAATGCGAAGTCAGCCAGCAAAGTGTGAGACATGATAGAGGGCTGAGCTTGGCCATGTGACTTGGCTTGACCTCTGCTGGGTCACTTGACTTATTGGATGGGTTCAGACAACACAACAAGCCAAGGTGGTTTTGTACAATTCTTAGTCTCTTGTGTTGCTTGAATCCAGTCATAGTATTTAACCATGATAACTTTGCTCTTGAGAAATCAAAATAAAAAACAACAGTTTGTTCTATGGTTTCTCTTTACCACCATGGCTTGTTGTATTGTCTGAATCCTGGATCATGTTTTCCAATATTCTGATATGCAACCTCAACAGAGACCTCTGGAAAGAGTGGCAACTGTAGAAGCCATCCAGCCTCTACATGTGAACCAATTAGGAAGAGGCAGGTGACATATGCAGGAAGTGATGCACCTTGGGATTGAATTTCAGGTGCAGTGGCTGATGGGATACATGCCAATAGTGGGAGGACTGAGCAGCGATGATGGAAACCATGATAAAGCAGAAAACACATGATTGTCTGTGAGCTAAATCATGATGAAGAACATAGTGAACACATACACACACTAATAGTAACATAGAAACAGAGTGACTCAGAGGGGGTCTCCCGGGCCATCCAGTCTGACTCCCGGCACCAGCCAGCTCCGCTCCTGACATGCCCACCATGTGCATGTCCAGCCTATCCTTGAATATCTGCAGCGATGGGGCCTCAACGACCTCTCGTGGAAGCCCATTCCACACCCTCGGGGTCCTGACTGTCAGGAAGTGCTTCCTGGCATCCAAACAGAACCTTGGCTCCCTGAGCTTTGCTCCATTGGAGCATGTCCTGCCTTCCTCTGCAGAGGAGAACAGCTCTCTACCCATCTCCCAGAGAGATCCCCAGAGAGGTCCGCCTGGCGCCGTCGTTATTTGCTTTTCAGCACCAGGCTAAGACCTTTTTATTTAAAACTTATTTTAATTGTTAATTTATTTATTTAACTAGGTTTTTTTTTTTTAGCCGAGAATGCACTGAGGTTTTATTGAGGTTTTATGGTATTGGGGGGTTTATTGTATTGGGGTTTTAATGTATGGTTGACTTTTTTGATGTTGTGAGCTGCCCCGAGGCTTATTGCGATGGAGCGGCATAGAAATGTTTTAAATAAATAGAAATAAATCTCCATGTGACATCCCCTCACATACCTGTATGTCGCCAACATATCCCCTCTGAGTCTCCTCTTCTCCAGGCTGAAGAGACCCAGTTCCCTCAGTCTCGCCTCATATCCCATCCCCTGCAAACCGGCCACCAACCTTGTGGCCCTACACTGCACTGACTCTAACCTGGCTATATCCTTTCTGTAATGAGGGGCCCAAAACTGAGCACAATACACCAGTTGCAGGCGCACCAGAGTCGTGTAGAGTGGTAGTAATACCTCTCTTGATCTAGAAGCCATGCAACCAAGGGTGGCATTTGCCCTCTTGCCCACCGCATCACACTGCTGATTCATGTTAAGCCTGCAGTCAACCAGTACTCCGAGGTTCCTTTCACAAGTGCTGCTCTCCAGCCCCTTGTCACTTAATCTGTACTTATGACACCTATTCCTATGCCCCAAGTGCAAGACCTTGCACTTATCCACATTGAACGCCATCCTGTTGTCTCCTGCCCACTTCCATAGTCTATCCAGATCCTTTTGGATCTGGAGTACCTGCTCCTCAGTTGTGGCCACTGCTCCAGTTTTAGTATCGTCTGCAAATTTGATCAGCAGACTGTTCACCCCTTCTTCCACATCATTTATGAAAAGATTAAACAGGATCGGCCCCAGCACAGAGCCCTGGGGGACCCCGCTTGTCACTGGCCACCATCCCGATGATTCCCCACTAATGGTTACCCTCTGCTTTCGGTCAGTCAACCATGCCCTAATCCATCGGACAGTGCTTTGGTGTATCCCAAAACTCCTCCATTTCTCCACCAGGATATCATGGGGCACTTTGACAAAGTTCTTGCTGAAATCCAGGTAAACCACATCCACTGCATCCCCTCCATCTAGCCATCTCGAAACCTTGTCATAGAATTCCACAAAGATTGTCTGGCAGGACCTGTTTTTGCGGAAGCCGTGTTGTGTGGCTGTCAGCCTCCCTTCCCTATCTAGCATCACTAGATCTCTCTCTATTATGAGCCTT